GTCACCTTACGTGGATCTGCGCGCATTGTTCGAAAATACATCACACAGTCCTAGACGCTTGGGAAATGTTCGACTTGTGATTTTGTGATATGAAATCCAGCATATTATTATCTTGTTTGCTGTGACATATTGTGCTTTTGTGTCAATAATAATAATAATAATAATAGTCCTAGACACTTGGGAAGTATCAGATGTGTGATCCGATTCAACAGCCAGCAGAATGTCTGCTGTGGACTCATCTTGTTGTGATTTTAATAATAATAATAATAATAATAATAATAATAATAATAATAATAATAATTCATACAGTCCTAGATGCTTGGGAAGTGTTCTCATTTGCTGTGACATGCTGTGTTTTTGTGTCAGTGAAATAATAATAATAATAATAATAATAATAATAATAATAATAATAATAATAATAATCTTTCTTTATACCCTGCCACCATCTCCCCGAAGGGGACTCGGGGCAGCTAACATGAGGTCAAGCCCAAAGATACAATACAGCAGAATAAAATGCAAAAAACAAACAAACAGACAACAAAAATTACATCAGAATATAATACATAAAATAGCAAAGTAAAATAAATAAAGCAAATTGACATAGCATAAAATGGGACACAGTGGGCAGGCCAAATGGCCGAGGTAAAATGATAAAACCCTGGATGAGGTCAGAATAGAAAAAAGTGTAATGGAGAGGAGCCCAAAAAAGGATGACCAGTGGGGTTAGGCTTTCAGTTTAGGAAGGGGCGAAAGTGCATCATAGCCCTATCCCTATGGCTAGTCCTTCTAGAGCACCGTTTCTCAATCTGGGGGTCGGGACCCCTGGAGGGGTCGCAAGGGGGTGTCAGAGGGTCACCAAAGACCATTAGAAAACACAGTATTTTCTGTTGGTCATGGGGGTTCTGTGTGGGAGGTTTGGCCCAATTCTATCGTTGGTGAGGTTCAGAATGCTCTTTGATTGTAGGTGAACTATAAATCCCAGTGTCTACAACTCCCAAATGTCAAGATCTATTTTCCCCAGACTCCACCAGTGTTCACATTTGGGCATATTGAGTATCCATGCCAACTTTGGCCTAGATCCCTCACTGTTTGAGTGCAAAGTGCTCTATCTGGATACAGGTCAACTACAACTCCAAAACTCAAGGTCAATGCCTACCAAACCCTTCCAGTATTTTCTGTTGGTCATGGGAGCTCTATGTGCCAACTTTGGTTCAATTCCATTGTTGGCAGAGTTCAGAATACCCTTTGATTGTAGGTTAACTATTAATCCCAGCACTACAACTCCCAAATGACAAAATCAATCTCCCCTACCCCACCAGTATTCAAATGCGTGTGTATTTGTGCCAAATTTGGTCCAGTTAATGAAAATACATCCTGCATATCAGATATTTACCTTACAATTAATAATAGGAGCAAAATTACAGTTATGAACTAGCAACGAAAATAATGTTATGGTTGGGGGTCACCACAGCATGAGGAACTGCATTAAGGGGTCGCGGCATTCAGAAGGTTGAGAAACACTGTTCTAGAGACACCGGCGGGAGATCTATGGCTCTGTCTAAAGCAGTCTATTTCATTCCCTAGAGCAGTGTTTCTCAACCCGGGGGTCGGGACCCCTGAGGGGGTCGTGAGGGGATGTCAGAGGGGTCACCAAAGACCATCAGACAACACAGTATTTTCTGTTGGTTGTGAGGGTTCTGTATGGGAAGTTTGGCCCAAATCTATTGTTGATGGGGTTCAGAATTTTCTTTGATTGTAGATGAACTATAAATCCTAGCAACTACAACTCCCAAATGTCAAGGTCTCTTTCCCCCAGACTCCACCATTTGGGCATATGGAGTATTCATGCCAAGTTTGGTCCAGATCCATCATTGTTTGAGTCCACAGTGCTCTCTGGATGTAGGTGAACTACAGCTCCAAAACTCAAGGTCGATGCCCACCAAACCCTTCCAGCATTTTCTGTTGGTCGTGGGAGTTCTATGTGCCAAGTTTGATTCAATTCCATTGTTGGTGGAATTTAGAATACTCTGATTGTGGGTGAACTATACATCCCAGCAACTACAACTCCCAAAATGTCATAGTTTATTTTTCCCTAACTCCCCCGGTGTTTGCATTTGGGCATATTGAGTATTCATGCCAAGTTTGGTCCAGATCCATCATTGTTTGAAGCCACAGCGTTCTCTGGATATAGGTGAACTACAATTCCAAAACTCAAGGTATTTTCTGTTGGTCATGGAAGTTCTGTGTGCCAAGTTTGGTTCAATTCCATGGTTGGTGGAGTTCAGAATGCTCTTTGATTGTAGGTGAACTATAAATCCCAGAAACTACAACTCCCAAATGACAAAATCAATTCCTGCAAACCCCCCCCCCCCCTTCCGTATTCAAATTTGGATGTATCGGGTATTTGTGCCAAATTTGGTCCAATTAATGAAAATACATCCTGCATATTTGATATTTACATTACAATTCAAAGCAGTAGCAAAATTACAGTTATGAAGTAGCAAAGAAAAGAGTGTTATGGTTGGGGGTCACCACAATATGAGGAACTGTATTAAGGGGTCATGGCATTAGGAAGGTTGAGAACCACTGCCCTAGAGGCACATACTGTCAGCTGTTTCTTCTCATTGTCTCACTGAAATCCACTTCCCAGATGCATGAAGGAAGGGGGGAACAAACAGCCCGCCATCCTGTTTCTGATCCTCCAAAATTTGGGTTGGAGCATCACACAGACGAAAGCTTTTAAAAACATTTGGACTTGTTGCAGCAGTTAAAAAGACCATACGGCTTCTGATGTTCCCGTTCTCCACCCCTCTGTGGGTGCCCATTATGACTGCAGATGGAAATGAAGGGGATTTGCCAGATAGCCTTTGGCTGCTGCGGAGAGGCCTGCTGAGCTCCTGTGCTGCTGGAATGGGGAAATTTAACAAGGCAGGCCAAAGGAATGTGGAGAGGAAATGCTCGTTAATAATGAAGGGAGGGAGAGATGGATGTGCAGGCTCTTGAGGAGAATGAATCTTCCTGCCGAAAACAAGACCCGGAGTGGAAGAGCTTTGGGCTAATTAAAGCGAGTAACTCCATCCCGAAGCCTGGTCAATTATTGATCCGGCGCAGGTTCCCGATGGGCTGCGGTGTGCTTGTTTATCTCAGCACCAGCGCTTGGCTTCCACGCCAACCTGCCTGCCCTGTATTTAATTGCTCCAGCCCTTTTCGCTGTTTTTTTCCCCCTTCCTCGCATGAATGGTTGTTCAGCATTTGCCCATTTGAGAGCACTTCTTTCCTTATTGCCTTATGTAGCTGCTTTTTGGGTGGGGAGGAGGAACCAACTGGCCAGATGCCCAGCTCCAAGGCACTGCAAAAGGGTTAAACTCTAGTAATTAAATCTCTTGGCTGTGCAGGCTTATTTGTTTGGTGAGTTGCAAGGAAGGGGAAAAGAACTTCTGAACAAAATGGTGTTCACGTCTGTGTTTCTAAAGTTCAGAGTATGATTGGCTGGAAGGCAAGATAGAGGCCATGTTTGATGCAGCCTCGGATTTGATGCAGCTTACCTGTCCGAACGTATCTCCTCCTATCAACCATCTAGGACAGGGGTCCTCAGCGCTCTTGGACATGTTCATGGTGCTCACTATGACTTGTAATGTCATTGGTGAGAGGGCTATTGGTGGGAGCTATAGCTGTTTGTGGAGGTAGGAGCTTGTCTATGTAAGTAGACACACCAGCCACACACACACATGCATACATAATTTCCTTTTTATTAGATAGATAGATAGATAGATAGATAGATAGATAGATGAAGTTCAGAGGCGGCCCTAGGTAATTTTCAACGGTAAGCAAACAGTATTTTGCCCCCCCCCCAACCAATCATTGATATATATTTTCGGTTCGACGTGGGAGTTCAGAATGCTCTTTGATTGTAAGTGAACTATACATCCCAGTAACTACACTTGCCGCACTTGCTCCCTTGCCTGGCCCACTTTGGGTCCGGAGGCGTGCCTGAAGACCCCGGCGTGTGCACCAAAAGTCACCTCTTCTCCTGACTTTCTCCTCAGCCATTGGGACCAAGAGAGAGAGAGAGAGAGGTGGAGATGCCCACCTTTCCTGAAGGTAGGCGCAAAAACAAAGGAGGGAGCGGAGGTGGGAGATACCTCCAGCCAGAAGGGCTCTCTCTCTCTCTTGGTCCCAATGGCTGAAGAGAAAGTCAGGAGAAGAGGCGACTTTTGGCGCGCACGCTGGGGTCTTCAGACACGCCTCCGGACCCGAAGCGGGCCAGGCGCGGCAGCTCCACCCCTTGGCCCACCCATGGATTGGGGAGAGGAGAGGAGGCGGGTGGAGCGCCGGGGGATCAGGAAAGGGAGCCGGTCATGGGGAAGGGATCGAACGCGGAGAACGATTGAGCGCCGGCTCTGCTCACGCACCCGGTTGCCGGGTGGAGCAGGAACGAGAGGGGCTAGGCAAGGCTCAAGGGCTCGGCCCCTTTGGGAAGAGGATCGCCCGGCAGCGAGGCAAGAAAGCTGAGGCTCCCCCCGGAGTACTAGGACTGTTGTGAGCTGAGGGGGCGCTCCTCAAGTGGCGGTCGAGGGGCATTTACAGAGGCGCCTCTGCGCCCCTGGCAAAAAAAAAGTGTTCTGCGACCGCTTACTTCATGTAATGGACGAGCCGCCCCTGATGGAGTTTCACCTGTTTGACTTACATACAAATTCAACTAAAGAACAAATCTACAGAACCTATCTTGTTTATAACTTGGGGACTGTGCGTACAATAAATGGAACGACTATAGAGAGGAGCAGGTGAATTGCATGGGACTTTTCCAACAGCCTTTTAATCATACTACAGAATACACCAGTGTCCTCTTGCCATGGTTTGGTTGGCCTTGATCCCCATTGAGATGGAGGATTTGAATGTAAACACACCTATTGCAAGATGGGAGAGGAAGGGCGCTTGTGAGATATATCTGTGATGACTTCCTTTTGCCTCATGCCAGCGTTGGCTTTGTTCTGTCCTAGGTCCCACAGCCAGCAGCCCTTCACCTCTAACTGGCTCCCCCGAGTTTCATCCGCCAGGCTTTGACTCTGCCAGCTTCATTGGCGGGATGGTGTTGGTGCTCAGCATCCAAGCTGTCATCTTCTTTGTGGTGAAGTTCCTCCGCTCAAAGGACAGCACCTATCAGACACTGTAAGTTCTCTGCAGGCTGGTGGGAGGGGAGGTTGGGGATGGATGGAGATTTGGAGCTGACATTATTGGAGTTTATTCCTAAGAGTGAGTAGGCTCCCCCTCTTGTAAAGAAATAGCAGAGTATCAGATTAAAACTACTTGGTTGCCCTTTGTTTTCATATCCAAACCAAATAACTACGCCAGGGAAACAGGGCAATTAAAAAAAAACTAAATGTAAAAACTATAAATTTTAATTTTCAAGTTCAAAATATCATATTTACTCGATTCTAATGCTCACCTTTTTGGACTAAATTGCCTTCCCAAAATTAGGGCGACCATTAGATTTGCCTAATATGGTACAGTAGAGTCTCGCTTATCCGACATAACGTTGGATAAACGAAAATGTCAGATAATACGGAGTCTCCTATTGTTACCCGTCCAATGCGATGATAGACACCTAGAATACTAACAACAGGGACTCAAAGGGTCAAGGCAAGGCCTCGGGGCTAGAGAGGCCCAGTAGGAAGTGCCCGGATACGGAAGAGAAGCGTGGAAATCCCAGAGGGAAGGAGTGAGGACACTTCCGCTTTCGGTCCTGCCCCTTTTGCCCCTTCCCTCCCTCCCTCCTCCTCCTCCTTCTCCTCGTCTTGCCTTTTTCACTTATTGGGAATGGAGAGAGAGTTGGCAAGCTCTCCTTTAATTGAAGGGAAAATGCTGGAGGAAAAGGGGGCATCAGATAAGAGCATTGGATAAGACAGAATGTCGGATAAGCCAAGGTCGGATAAGCAAGACTCTAAATACTTTTTTGGATTTTTGGGTTTTGAAAACTGAGGTGCGCATTAGATTCAATGGCGCATTAAACTCGAGTAAGTACATTCTGCGAGGTATAGTGTCCCTTCAGAGCAGACAACCATTTGGCGTCACCGTTGCATCAAGTGTGCCATCAAAATGGCTGTTCAGGCTGCCTTTTAACGCAAGCACTGTTTCACATGACAGGCATAAAGGAAAAAGGGGTCTGTTCTTTCTCCCCAAAGCAGAAGCAGAGGGATCCCTTGAGTGAGAATGCTTCTCTCCTTCTTTTCTTTTCCTTACTTTGAGTCTTTTATTCCACAGCACAATCTTCCTCTCCCTTTGCTGTCGCCATCAGCAGTTTTACCCTTTGCACAAGCACATTGCCAGCTGTACACAAGGAATGTGCATTCTGCATACTGCTGGGAACTATAAAACTGGAATACTGTTCATGTCAAGCTATGGACTGCTCCTACCTAATCACTAGCCTTTCAAAGCCATGTTTCCTCTGCAGATATTTGCTGTCTTTCTTACTACACATATACTTTTCTGTCTCAAGGGTTCTCTTGTTACATTCATCCTGCTTTCCTTATTTGTTTGTTTGTTTACAGTATTTATATTCTGCCCTTCTCACCCCGAAGGGGACTCAGAGCAGATCACAGAACATATATACGGCAAACATTCAATGCCGTTATATATTGACAAGACAGACAACTGTACATAGATAGAGGGACATATAGGCTTTTCTCATCTTCGGCATCTTGGAGGCTGTGATTGGTTCCAACCACAAGGGGTGCTGTCGCTCCACTTTCCCTACCAAAGAGCTTTGTTCGTAACTTCCTCCTTGATCGAATCATTGGCATTTTTCTGACATTTCCTTATGGGTGCCTTAAATACCTCCCCGCTTAAAGCAGTACCTAATTATCTACTCACATTGCTGTTTTCAAAACTGCTAAGTAGGTAGAAGCTGGGCTAAAGGCAAGGAGCTCACTCTGACCCAGGCTTTGAACTGTCAACATTTTGGTTGTCAAGGTTTACTGCAGCTGGCGGTTAACCTGCTGTGCTAAAGCTCAGCCCTTATACAACACTATAGTAACATTTATGAGGTGCATTTAAAATATCTTTCTGTAAGTGAACCTACAGTGTAGAATTAATGCAGGTTGAGCTAACTTTAACTACCATGGCTCACAGCTATGGAAGCATGCAAGTTGTAGTACTGCAAGGTCTTTAGCCTTCTCTGCAAAAGAGTGCTGGTGCTTCACCAAACTACAAATCCCAGGATGCCACAGCTTGGAGCTGTGGCAGTTAAAGTGGTGCCAAACTGCATTAATTCTACATTGTAGATGGCAATGTAGCCTACATTTCATTCTACTGACCGTGCAATGCCTTTCATTTCGTTCCGTCTAAAAAGGATCCAGAGAATTAACTGCCATCGCACGTATTCTTCTTCTCCTGTTTCTACTGCAGTCATCCCTTTGTTTTTCCATCACACAAAAATAAAGTTTTCTGTAGAGCTAATTAGAATAACTTCCACATGTCACTGTTGCAGCATTAAAAGTAATTATTACCATAAAAGGACTTACTGCTCCTTCTCCGTGTCCTAAGAATAGTGGCAAAAATTGGAGCATTGAGGGCATGTAAAGACCATGCACACAAAAACGGCATTAAACAGAAGATGGAGAAATGGAACTATGCCCATCCCGCTTGAAATCTGCCACTTTAATCTGTTTCTATGCACAGGGAGCCCCCAGTGGCACAGCGGGTTAAACCACTGAGCTGCTGCACTTGCTGAACAAAAGTTCAGTGGTTTGAATCCAGGGAGCGTGGGAAGCTCCCCCTGTTAGCCCCAGCTTCCGCCAATCTAACAGTTCAAAAACAAGCAAATGTGAGTAGATCAATCGGTACCACTCTGGCGAGAAAGTAACAATGCTCCATGTAGTCTTGCCAACCAAATGACCTTAGAGGTGTCTATGGACAACACCATCTTAGAAATGGAGATGATCACCACAACTAGACACAACTAGACTTAATGTCAAGGGGAAACCTTTACCTTTTAATGTGCAGGGAGTGAACTAGAGTCAGTTCCTCATCGTCTTTAAAATACTTGCGGTTCCATACACTTCAGAACCGGGGCCAAACGGAAAACCTACAGAACAACCTTGTGTCATCTAGTAGGCTCTGTCTTCTAAGTGTCTCGAACCGCTGGGAAAATGGCATGGATTGAAGTCCATAGTTTGACTCTCCAATTACCGTATTTTCTGTCTGCTGATCGGGAATGCAATCTTCCCAATTTCATGCTGTCAGTATGTGAGAGGTTTAGGTTCCATGTGAGGGACTGTTTTTTATTTATTTAATTATTTATTTTATTTTATTTACATGGCACTCATTCTGGAATTCTTTTCTGTTCTTTTTTCCTGTTGATACTACCTCTGTATTGAAAGATCGTCTCATATCACCAAGAAATGGTTTTTGCATCTCTCATTTTATAATTCCCCCCTCTGATTTCTTCTTTACCTTTCCTTGTCCCATCAGGTGAAGTTTTGGAGTTCAAACATCATAAGGCAGGCATGGGCCAACTTTGGCCCTCCGGGTATTTGGGACTTTAACTTCCACAACTCCTAACAGCCTCAGGCCCTTTCCTTTTTCCCCTCAGCTGCTTAAGGAAGGGACCTGATGCTGTTAGGAATTGTGGGAGTTGAAGTCCAAAACACCAGGAGGGCAAAAGTTGGCCCATGCCTCTCGTAAGGGAAGAAGCAGGGTTATCCTGAAACATTTTGCTGTAGGAGACAGGCTATTTGGCAATTGTGACTTCCTTTAACATCGCTGAAAGTGTACGACTTTGTGGGTTCTTTGGGATCAAACATATTTGGATACTGCAAAAATCTATCACAGTTTAAGTCGCAGTGTGTTTTCAGCAACATTACAACATACTGTGTCTGCCAACTGAAATGGGTTCCTCACTCCGCCTGTTGACATAGCATGATTATTAAACCTACAGTGTGTCCTTGGGATCAATGGGGAATGCTTCCAGGTCCCTCTATGAACACCGATAAATGCACATGCTTGAGTCCCTCTTTGGACAACATCGGCCCCTTCTATACTCTCATATAATCCACATTATTCATTTATTTATTTATTTACAGATTTTATATTCTGCCCTTCTCACCCCGCAGGGGACTCAGGGCGGATTACAGTGTACAAATATATGGCAAACATTCAATGTCAATTTTTGACATACAAACATATACAGACATACACAGAGGCTATTTAACTTTTTCTGGCCACCAGGGGAGCTGTCACTTTCATTGTCCATCTACGACGCTGATGAAGCACTTCCGCATTCCCACATGCTTTCCCGCTGGAATGCTTTGCTGGAGTCTTCTTTATGTCCTCATAAATCAGTTAATTTAGCCTCCCCAAACTTTAAGGTGGTACCTTATTTTCCTACTTGACAGATGCAACTGTCTTTCGGGTTGCAAAGGTCGACAACAGGCTACACACAATTGGTTGGAAACCCACTCCAACCCAGGCTGGCTTCGAACTCATGACCTTTTTGGTCAGAGTGATCTTAATGCAGCTGACACTCAGCCAGCTGCGCCACAATCCCGGTGCTCAAAGCAGATAATCCACATGATCGGCTTTGAACAGGATTATATGAGTCTACACTGCCATATAATCTAGATTATCAAAATAGATAATCCACATTATTGGCTTTGAACTGGATTATATGAGTCTACGCTATCATATAATCCAGATTATCAAAGCAGACAATCCACATTATCGTCTTTGAACTGGATTATATGAGTCTACACTGCCATATAATCCAGATTAACAAAGCAGATGATACACATTATCTACACTGTCAAAGCAGATAATACACATTACCTACACATTATCTGCTTTGAACTGGATTATATGAGTCTATACTGCCATATAATCTAGATTATTAAAGCAGATAATACACATGATCGTCTTTGAACTGGATTATCTGAGCCTACACTGTCATATAATCCAGTTCAAAGCAGATAATCTGGATTTTAGATGGGAGTGTAGAAGAGGCCATAGTGCAGTATTGCATTCACAGTGGGGACTTAGTTGCATCTTGTGTTTGCAGTCTCTCAGCAAGCCTCACGAGAGACTATAGTCAGCTCTCATTAAAAACGGCAAAGGGCAGCAGTGGAGGCATTGGCATTGCCAGCTGCCCTCTTCTGCCTTGCTATGGAACTCCACTG